CTCCTAATGCGCACTAAGAAGGATCCAGGTGCCCGTTCTTACACCATCGCTCAAAAGCTTGCCACTTATAGGAATATAACCCTCTAGTGGATGAAGCTCTTGCGTTTTGGATAGTTGCTATTACTGCTGGAGAAAGGCCTTTGGCTAATAAGCTGGACCTTTCAGCAGGTAAGCATGCAGCTTCCATAGTTCTGGGTGTGGGTGAAAAATCCCCACCTCTGCCTGAGAGAGGAGATCTCGTTGAACTGGAAGTTGCCAGGGTTGAGCTGCTAGCAAGCTGATTATCTCGGCGTACCAAGACTTTGCTGGCCAGCGGGGTGCCACTAGGATCAAAGACAGGCTCTGTCCGCGCACCCTTTCTAGTACAAGTGGTATCATTTCCACTGGGGGAAACGCATACTGAAGTACACCGGGCCAAGGATGAGCTAGGGCGTCCACTCCCAGAGGAGCGCTCTGCGCTGTCATGGAAAAGAACAGAGGACAGTGTGTGTTTGCTCTGGAGGCAAACAGATCTACTGTCGCTTTGCCAAACAAAACCCAAATCTGGGCCACCACAGTGGGATGCAGCCTCCACTCCTTTGCTAGAGGTCCGCCCCTGGAGAGGAGGTCTGGACCTAGGTTTAGTCTCCCCGGAACATGAATGGCTCTGATAGACAGAAAATGAATACTGCTCCACTGTAAAAGAGTGTGAGACAGGTTCAGCAGGGGAAGGGACCGAGTCCCCCCCTTGTCTGTTTATATAAGACACCACTGCTGTGTTGACCATTCTGATTAGAAGATGATGGTTYTCCAGAACTGGACAAAAATGTTTCAGTGCTAACAGGACTGCTAACAATTCTAGGCAGTTTRYGTGGAGCCTGGACTGTTGTGGAGTCCAGGTTCCCCTCACCGCCGCGCCATCGCACAGGGCTCCCCAACCTTTCAGGGAGGCATCTGTGGACACCATTTTGCGAAACGACACCCTCCCTATTGGAGAACCCTGATACAGGAGGCCGGGTTCCCTCCAGGGGCTGAGAGCCGTCATGCAGGAAGCAGTTATTGTTAGCTTTTTGTGTCTGTGTCGAGACTGACACAGCCTGTGGGACTGAGACCAACGCTGAAAACGGCGCATTTTTAACAGCCCGAGTTGTACTACTGAAATCATGGAAGCCATCATTCCCAGTAACTGTGGTACGGTTTTGAAGCTCAGTTTGCATCCCAGTTGAAACTGAGCTAAGCAGCGGTGAAAYGCGGCTGCTCTGTTTTCTGAGAGGCGAGCCCTGYTTGACAAGGAGCAGATTTCTAGTCCGAGGAACAAAAACTGCTGACTTGGTGTTAATAGACTTTTCTGGGTGTTTACTAAAAACTCTAAAGCCTGAATGTGTGACAGAACTTGAGACAGCTGATCTAATGTTTGCTCCTTGGAGCTTGCGATCAGAGCCCAGTCGTCTAATGATGCAGCGAAGTGCCTCAGCCTGCTTCTTCCTCTGTTCGAATTTGGTTTGGATGACGTCAATCGCTTGACCAAACAGTCCTGTAGGCATTATCGGTTCATCCAAGTAGGCCGCTCTGCCCTTGTTGGGAACGTCTGAGAGCTTTAGCCACATGTGCCTCTGCACCACCACAGTAGAAGCCATTCCTTTCCCCAGAGCCAGCGCTGCACAGCGGGACACATGCAGGATGTGGTCTGACGCCAGTCTGATCTCGTTCAGCAGGGGTAAAAGGGGTTTTTCCTGCGACATCTGAGCTTCCAGTTCRGCCAAGACCATGGCCTGGTAGGTCTGAAGCATGGTGACGGAGCTCAGYGCATGGGCGGTGTTACCTTGGGCTTTGTAGATTTTCTCCAGCTGTGTCAAAGACAATCTGCAGGGCTTGGAAGGGAGCAGGGTGGGCCCGCTCACACCCTGGTTGTGAGACGGAGCCAAATAAGCGGCTAAAGAAGGCTCCATCAGAGGGATGCCCACCAGGCCTGCTTAGTCTGCCCCTTCCACGTCCAAGTACCGACCCTGTCCGGGCGCGAATGGACAGCGGTTTGCTCCAGGAAGATGTCAGCTCTGACACAAAGTATGGAAACATAGGCAGACGGTGCTTCACTTCAGCTGGTTCAGACGGGAGATAAAACCCTGCGAACCTAGACGGCTTTTGAGCAGGTGCGTGGTCGGGCCACTGTACCTCCAGTTTAGCAGCAGCTTGGCGGCACAGGGACGAGAAGGACGATTCCTGGTCCACACTCGCAGCAGCGGGGGTGGAGTGAGCTGGGCACGGACTGAGAACCTCCTGCTCCATCTGCAGAACATTGTCCTCCTCTTGGTTTAGATCCAGTAGAAACTGGGTATCGCCCCCCTTGATGTCGGGTGAGGTCGCCTCGAGCTCCAT